TTTTTTTTTTTTTTTTTTTTTCCTGTCTCAGTGGACAGCACATGGACTTCTCCCAACAGGTGCTTCTGCCCTGGGAAGAACTAACAGGTTCATCCTGGGTGGCTTGACAGATTTTTTTTTCTGGGGAGAAAGAAGAAATCTGAAAACCAAGTTCCATCCAAGTGAAAGGTTAGCTTGCTTCACATGCAAGCAGCAGACATTTCTACTGATGGCTTCCATCATCTCAATGCTTTTTTTTTTTTCCTGGCAAAAGGTTAAAATGCAACTAAAATTCTGCTTTCATGATTAATAAGTCACTACCGCAGTTGTGTCTGATGCTTCCTGTTTGCCCCATTTTAGTATTTCAGTTAAACTGGAGGCATCTGAGCGCTCTGGGCACTTTTGATGGCACCAGCATGAAGTGGGTGTGGAGAGGGGCAGTATGGAGCGAGCATCTGGGGAGCTCTAGGGATAAGTCAGCCCACTGCACACCAGGATCCCGAATAAGGGAAAGGAATGGAGTGGCGTGTCTTCACGGGTAGGGTGAGCATTTCAAGTGTGAGCACGCTGCCTTCCCTTGGTGTTGCTGACTGCAGAGGTACAGCTGTGGGGCAGAGCAGGAGAGCCGAGGGGAAGGCAGGCAGCCCAGGAGAACGTTTGGCACTTCTGGTCAGGGTGCTGAGGTAGCGGCCTGAGTTCTGAGCTTCTCTCAACTGCCTGACTGACAGGACTAAGGGAGCTTCCCTCGGAGGCCTGAGTTCTTTTCCTCATGTTTAAATTGAGGCCCTTTCCCCTCTTGCTGTTTTATTAGAGTCTTTCATCTTGAGCTCCCTGGTAGAAATCCTTTGGAATTATGTGCATAGGGAATAGTTTTGCAGGCAGCCTTTCTATTTTCTTACAGTATAGAGGTAAAGATCTTTAAAATGAGGACTAAATAAAACAGACAATAATCCTTAGGAATTTGGTGTCATGGTTAGAATCTAAACCGATTTTCCTTGGCATACACTTCATCATTTTACACTACTCACTTGCTGAAGGATAAGCCCCTCTCCCGAAAAAGTCAATTCTGAATGTCATTAAACCAGGGCTTCTTAATTGTTATCGCTCTTTAGTGGTTGTTGATACTGATCGTTATTAAAAGCCTGCCGTCTGAACAAGTGTGCCCATGCTCATTTCACAGATGTAGAAACTAAGGCAGAAGGCACAAGTGATCTGTCCAGGGATAGAGCCTGTCCATAGTGCCACCACATCCACTGTGGCGGTGTCTGTTGTCAAACAGACCTGGGTCAGGGCCTGGTCTGCCTGTGGCTGTCTGCCTGTCTGTCTGTCTGTGTGCCCTCTAGCAAATGGGACCAGAAGTGTTTCACGGGGCTGTTTCACGTAGAAGACAGGAGAGGATTTGTATGCTGGGCTGGGCACAGTGGCTGTCACTGCTCTTGGTCATTGTGGTGGCAGCAGCAGCAGATTACTACATTGTGACTAGATCTGTCTTCTGTAAGATGATGTGAAGAAAAACTGGAGTGCCTGACAGGTCAGTCGTTTTTTTTCAGCAGGCCCTCCAAGGACTGCTTCCCTAGCCTGGATGGGTTAGCTGTCCCGTCTTCCCAGTCTTAAAACAAAGCACACTATTGTATTCATTCATTGTGTGTGCACACGTGTGGAGGTCAGGGGACAGTGTGCAGGAGTCACTTCTCTCCTTCCATCCTGTGGGTTCCAGAGAGCAAAGTCGGGTCTTCAGGCTGGGCTGCGAGCATGTCTACTCACTGAGCCATCTGGCCAGTCCCGGATTCCCCCAGGTTTACTGTACATCCTTCCCTCCCTGTACTTCAGATAAGCCTAAAAAGACTTAGCCTCTGTCCAGTCAGAGTGCGTAGTCCTAAATAGGGCTTACCTGCGTGTCTCCCAGGACTCTGCTGCAAACAGAACGGGTCTGTCTGGGAGTTCTTCACCCCCTCCTCGCTCCCCGCTCCCCCGCTTCCCCGTTCTCCATGTGGTGTTTAGTGGGTCCCAGCATTAACTGGGGTGAGAAAGAGAGTACTCAGAATAGAAGCCACTGAGGACTTGTTCTTTGTTTGGGGGACAAGGAGGCTACATTTGTTTGCAGGGGGTATGGTTTCCGTCAGCACATGGCACCCTAACTCTTCTCCCTTAAAACTGCCTTATCTCCATAACCAGGTCTGGGGGCCCTGGATTTACAGTCAAGGATTTGCAGGTTCTGCTTCACATATCATGGGTTGGGGGCGGGGATTAAATTCCTTTCTCCTTAATACAAAGCAGAAAAATGACTCCTACCACACCGCCCGCCATTCTTTCTAAACAGCATTTGTTTTCTCCTGGGGAAGCTGGCTTGAGAGGCCAAGAGTCATTTCTAAAGCAAACCTAGTTTTTAGAAAAACGAAATCACCGGATGTCAAGCCTCGTGAGGAGCTTGCTCAGGTGAAAATGAAAGCAGCCGCGGGCCCGGGGTGGCATTTGCCTTCCCGGCTGGAGGTGAAGGCAGAGGTCTTGGACCCTGCTCAGTCACTGGCCAGCCCCACAGCCTTAGTCACTTTTCAGGCAGCTTTGTTTAGGTGAGGGGAGTACTTTCTCTGGAAG